CTGAACCAAAGAATCTCATACTTTTAGGTTTACACTTTAAGACATTTTCTCAGGATTAATTGTAAATTCCTTAGAGGCAAAAATAGTCATTTACTTTTATTCTTATTTCCATAGAAACTAATAGAACTGGACAAGAAGCAAGACTTAGGTTTAATTGTGTGCGGGCTTTATTTCAAGTGGTTTTCCTTGCCTTAACAAGCTAGGCAGAATTTGTCAGCATTGTGTTATGTAGAATAGGACCTGGTTAAAACAGAAAACTATGTTGAGAAAAATGCCACCTCCTCTAAAGCAATGTGAATGGTAGTGGTTATTCCCTCAAATGAGTCTTTTTGGAATATGAGAACTCATTCCAGTGAAGCTATCGTTGCCGAAAACATTTTTGGATCTTCTTTTCTTTTGTGGAAAGAAAGATTACGGTAAGATGAAAAGGATGTACTCAGGTGCCCTGGCCTCACTGGGGTTTGATCACATCTCCTCTACTTAGAAGTGATGTGGCCTTCAGCAAAGGAGTCTGGTATCTCGACTCTAAAAGGGGGATCTCAGATGCCATGGCTCATGCCTGTAATCCCAGCACTTTGGGAAGCCAAGGCAGGTGGATCACTTCAGGCCAGGAATTTGAGACCAGCCTGGCTAACATGGTAAAACCCTGTCTCCACTAAAAATATAAAAATTAGCCAGGTGTGGTGGCACATGCCTGTAGTCCCAGCTATTCAGGAAGCTGAGGCAGGAGAATCACTTGAACCTGGGCTTGAACCCGGGAGGCGGAGGTTGCAGTGAGCCGAGATCATGCCATTGCACTCCAGCTTGGGTGACAGAGTGAGACTCCGTCTCAAAAAAAAAAAAAAAAAAAAAAAAAAAAAAAAAATCTCATATATATATATACATATATTTGAGACACAGTCTTGCTCTGTCACTTAGACTGGATTGCAGTGGTGCAATCATAGCTCACTGCAGCCTCAACCTCTTGGGCTCAAGCAATCCTCCTATCTCAGCGTCTCGAATAGCTGGGACTACAGATGCACATCAGCAAGCCAGGTTAATTGTTTTATTCTTTGTAGAGACAGTCTCTCACTATGTTGCCCAGGCTGGTCTGGAACTCCTGGGCTCAAGTGATCCTCCCACCTTGGCCTCCCAAAATTGCTGGGATTACAGGTGTAAGCCACCAAGCCTGGGCCAGTACATCTCTTTGTACACCAGTAGTTGTTTCTTAGCCGTGGAATGAATACGATTTTTCGGAAATAGCCAAGCTATTTGAAACCAAATCTGTTAAATAAGTACAGAATAGTGATTTTGCTTTTTTAAAAAACAAAGGTTTTTTGGACAATATAACGAGAGGGCTTTCATAGCTAGTTGATTAGATACATGAGAAAAATCAGTTCTTACAGAATTCTAAATGGGATATTTGGTTTCCCAAGATAAATTACTTAAAGGACACTATATGAAGAATTGACATATGATGTGTTTGCTTAAAAATGCACTCTGCGGCTGGGTGTGGTGGCTCATACCTGTAATCCTACCACTTGGGGAGGCCGAGGCATGCAGATCACTTGAGGTCAGGAGTTCAAAACCAGGCTGGCCAACATGGTGAAACCCCATCTCTACTAAAAATGCAAAAATTAGCTGGGTGTCGTGGCGTGCACCTGTAATCCCAGCTACTTGGGAGGCTGAGGCAGGAGAATCGCTTGAACTCAGGAGGCAGAGGTTGCAGTGAGCTGAGATTGTACCACTGCACTCCAGCCAGGGCGACATCTCAAAAAAAAAACCAAAAAAAAAAAAAAACACCAAAGCACTCTGCAAGCTTACTGGCTAACTCTTGTACATTGCAGCTGGGAAAGTTTGATGCCTCTGAGGGCGATGTCAAAGCCAGGCTGGCTGCTGCGGCATGAGCATGGAGTAAACGCATCAAACTTCATCACAGATGACGGATGATGACTGCGGTGGGAAAACCCACACAGGGACCTGCAAGCACGTCTCAGGAAGAGCTGTCTTACTAGGGGCAAACTTATGGTAAAGGATGATGCCATCATTTGATAAAATGTTCTGTCATGCTTTTGGCGGCGAGTTTTTAACAAGAAAGCAAAACACTCACCATGAACCAAATGTTAACATCAATGTCAACCAAGTCACATCATTTCCTGTTCCACTTGGTTTTGAAATTCAACTTCTCCTTTATTTAAAAATGACATATCAAAACCTGTCTTCTTGAAGAGATAACTTAGGAAATGGAGCAATTTACTGTGGCTTTAGAGGATGTAAAGGGCTTCATGCAGTCGGACACGTACAGGGCAGCAGCTGGAGGCACGAAGACATAGGGCCATCACTCAATGTGGTCCCCGGGCCAGCAGCAACTGCACAACGTGGAGCTCCTTAGAAAGGCAGGATCCTGGACCTCACCCTGTTTCAGAACCCACATCTTTTTTTTTTTTTCTTAATTTGCAAAAATTTATACATATACAAATGTGCAATGTCAATAATATGACCAATTAGGTTTGTTCTTGAAACATTTTCAATTGAACAGGAATTAAGCGCTTTTGAAAAGTGACAAAATGATCATACAGTGAAGATGTCTCTTTATATAACAGGTATAAATCAGGTACTAACTCTTGATTTTACTCTGAATTAACCATGACATACTAAACGAACTTGGGCTTCCGGCAGAACCTACATCTTAAGGCGAGCTCCAGGGGATGGGTAAGCACATTAAGGCTTAGGAAGCACTGTTCTAGGTAACAGCTCAGGTCTCTGGGCTTAGCACTACAGGGAGAATGTGACTAGGAAATGGAGACTTGGGTTCTGATCTCAGGCTTACCACTAAATACTTGCTGTTTCCCATTAGCCCTGCCTGCTTCTCAGGACTGTGGAAGACCAAATGGGATCCTTATTAACAAGGTTCTATAAGATCTGGGCCCAGCCTGTCTCAGACCTTATCCTGTACTACTTTCTATTTTGAGTTGGGCTTTGTAGCCAGGCTGACCTCAAGCAGAGCTTGTTTCTGCCTCAGGGCCTTTGCACAGGCTGTCTTCTCTGCCTGGAACACCCTCCCTTTTGACCTCTACACTGCAGTTGCCTCCTGTTAATCAGATCTCAGCCTAAATGTTGTCTCTCCAGTGAGACCCTCCCAGACCACCCAGTCCAGTGTCCCCGGTAAGTCTAACTCTTTAACTCTCTGCAAGGCACTTCTCAATCCATCCAAGCAGGGACTGAATGTCTTACTCCTGGTTCAAGGCACTGGTGCCTTGAACTATGCCTGGCACACTGTGTGCTCAATGCACATTTGTTTAATGAGTAGCTTAAGGCGGTAAAGACACTGGAAAAAACAAGGGACTGCACGAGTATCAAATACCTTTGTCAAAAAATAAAACCTCCCCAAGCCGTGTGCGGTGACTCAATTCCAGCACTTTGGGAGGCTGAGGTGGGTGGATCACCTGGGGTCAGGAGCTCGAGACCAGCCTGGCCAACATGGGAAACCCCATCTCGACTAAAAATACAAAAAATTAGCCGGGTGTGGTGATGTGCATTAGCTACTCAGGAGGCTGGGGCAAGAGAATCTCTTGAACCTGGGAGGTGGAGGTTGCAGTGAGCCGAGATCATGTCACTGCCACTCCAGCCTGGGCAACAAGAGGGAAACTGTCTCAAAAAACAAAAAAGAAAAAAAAAAAAAAAACAAACACCTCCCTTGCCTTCCCCTACTGATTTCTCTTGGAAATGACAGCAATGTTACCCTGATTACTCTCGCAGCCCATATCCTGCAAATGGAAATCTGCCAACTTCATCCAGGAAGAAAAGATGGAATGCAGGTTGTTTTTTTATCGCATTTCAAGGAACGATCATTCATTCACTGCCTATACATCCTTCCTTCCAGCATCACTGTGAAACTCTGCATGCATATTAGGTTAATTTCATCCATTCCTCTTGAAAAAGTGAAGGACTTAAACCAGAAAAGCGGCCACAGAGGTCACAATACAGGATGGTTAACGTCACTCTGTTAACAGTGCCTTGGCCAAGGACAGCCAGATGGCCCGGAGGCTGGCCTGGCAAAGCCGCTGGAGAGTTGGGGAGGGCTGCGGGTTAACAGCAGGGAGCACATACTTCATTAGACTACAAGCCGGGAGCCGTCCAGAGGTGCCTTCTGCCACAGAATGGAAATTTAATAATGGTTTATTGGTTTAGTTGTGATTTTCAGTTAAGCATGACAGAAATTGGTTTTAAGTCCAATATTAGAGGTTCTAAAATGTTAGTTCACACAGTCTAATGATGTATGATGGGAGAAGGCCACAGCTGTTTTCTTTAATCTATTTACAATCTTCCCAGCAGAAAGGCTAAATGAACTCTCATACCATTATCAGGTCAGGGCTAAATGCAGCCCCGATCACAGGCAGTGATGCCTTCTTATGAACTACCTCTACCTGACTTTCCTTAGCTCAGAAAATACTACAAAGGGAAAAGGCGTGCTGAGAGCCTCTGCTGCTCCGCCAAGCATACAGAATAAACAGAGCAATGGCCCCATCTACTGACACAGGCTAAAGCGGCACACAGGACGTGCGGCAACACAAGCAATCCTGCCTCAAGCTCCTCTTCACGCCTGTGACCCACAGCACTGATGAGGAATGTCTGATGCCTAGTGAACTACTTTATTATTGTCCTCAGGCACAAGGTAATACGAGGGGTTTCTAGTATTTTCTCTAGGGTTCCAGGTCTTCATTCCTGTGTATGCCATTTTTTTTTTTTTTTTTGAGACGGAGTCTTGCTCTGTCGCCCAGGCTAGAATGCAATGGCACGATCTTGGCTCACTGCAAGCTCTGCCTCCCGGGTTCATGCCATTCTCCTGCCTCAGCCTCCCGAGTAGCTGGGACTACAGGGCCTGCCACCATGCCTGGCTAATTTTTTGTATTTTTAGTAGAGATGGGATTTCACCGTGTTAGCCAGGATGGTCTTGATCCCCTGACCTCATGAGTTTATACCTAGTTTGTTTTTTTTTCGAGACAGTCTCGCTCTGTCACCCAGGCTAGAGTGCAATGGCACGATCTCGGCTCACTGCAACCTCCTGCTCCCAGGTTTAAGCGATCCTCCTGCCCCAGCCTCTCGAGAAGCTGGGATTACAGGTGCACACCACCACACCCGGCTAATTTTTTTGTATTTTTAGTACAGATGGGGTTTCATCATGTTGGTCAGGTTGGTCTCGAACTCCTGACCTCATGATCCGCCTGCCTCGGCCTCCCACAGTGCTGGGATTACAGGCGTGAGCCACCATGCCTGGCTGTTTATGCCTAGTTTTAAATTAGCTGGACAGCTCCAGATGCAACCAGAGGTGCAATGGTTTTGTATCGGATCAAGTGCTGTGAGCCCTTTTCCAGGTCAATCACGTAGTCCCTGAAAAAGAGGGAAACATATTCGCCTGTAGAGCTCGGCTGGCCCTCCACTGGGAGGAATGTGCCCACTGTGAAAGACGCACGCCACTCACCTCTGCTCATCTGTGTCTGGTTCTACCAGTATGTTTTCTTGTCGTTCTCTCACTCTCAGAAACACGTAAGAATCTAGATCTGGTTTGGGAACTGCCAGGAAAATAATAATGTGATCAGGAAATGCTCGGCCAACAAAGTCAACAAAGGAAAAGTTGCTGGGAGGTATGGCACACTCAGGGTTTAGATAGGAGTCCAGCCCTTTCCTATTCTTCTAAGATGCAGACAGAGTGGCTGACCAGGGAGGGAACTGGACACGGATTGGGCCTTTTGTTTTCCTCAGGCAGCCTCAGCAAAATGACCAATTCAGGGTTTCACAAGTCTGATATGGGTCTGACTTGCAGCTGGTGTTATGGGCTACACTGTGTCCCTGCAAAATTCATATGTTGAAGCCCTAACCCCCAATACTTCAGCATGCGATTGTATTCGGAAACAGGGCTTTTAAAGAGGCAATTAAGTGAAAGTGTGGGCCCTAATCCAATCTGACTGGTGTCTTATAAGTAGAGACTAGGCCAGGCAGTGGCTCATGCCTGTGATCCCAGCATTTTGAGAGGCTGAGGCTGGAGGATCAATTGAGGCCAGGAGTTTGAGACCAACCTAGAAAACAATAGCAATACTGTCTCCACAAAAAAATTTTAAAAATAATAGCCAAGCATGGTGGCACATGCCTGTAGTTCCAGCTACTTGGGAGGCTGAGGTGGGAGGATCACTTGAGCCCAGCAGTTCAAGGCTGCAGTGAGCTATGACAGCGTCAAAGTACTCCAGCCAGGGCAACAAAGCAAGACCTTGTCTCAAAAAATAAAAAAACAAAAAAAAAGGGCGGCGGGAGGGAGGGGACTAGGACACAGAGACTGGGATTAGTGATCTTACGGAAGTAGCCTGAGAGTCTGCTTGCCCCTTGCCCTTTGCCCCTTCCCTTCTCTGTGGCGACATATGGAAGGCGTCATCGATGAGGAACAGGCCCACGGCAGATACTGAACCTGTCGGGGCCTGGATCCTGGACTTCCCGGCCTCCAGAACTGTGAGTAGCCCAAAGGGACTAAGACCTTGTTCCACCACCACAGGGGTGGCCGTGTGGCCCCCAGCCCCAGCACAGGCTGGGCAGAGATGAATTTCCAGGGCTTGGGTGCACTGGAGCTCGTGGCCTTGGAACACTAAGCTCAGCTTGTAGACAAGGCGGGCTCCAGACCCCTGGAGGGCATTTGATTTGGTGTGGCAATTTTGCCTGAGGCAGTCTTGCTTGGATCTGGCGCACCGTGAAACACTGAGGAACATGGGCTTTATCCTGTAAGCCAGGGGCCCCCGGTGGGTTGATCCACGGTTAAAGGCTCTACCTATACCTCCCTTTCCTTGCTCAGCAGCCCTCAGGAGCTGGTGCAGAGGCCCGTGGAGGGGCTCCGGCCAAGCTGCCCTTCCCTGGCTTCCCTCCCTCGTCTTTCCATACCCTCCAACCTGCTCCCTCTTCCAAGGCCACAGGGACTCAGTGGAGGTCTCCCTAGCCTCCTGTTTCAGCCCTCCCCTCCAGCTAGGCGGGCCCTGCGCATTCTGGGACCTGTGAGGAAGAGACCGCCAGCCCCTCAGAGCAGGGGCAATGTTGGCGTGGGCTCTGCAGCACTGGTACTCGGGGCTGCCAGCACCTCGCAGAGGCTCAGCAAATGGCTAGCTACTGAAGGTGAATGCAGCTCCATGCCCGAGTCTACAAGCACCAGTGCAGTCACGGGGCTCAGCTCACCCCAGGGAACACGGAAGCAATGCTCAAATGACTACCATTGGATCTGCTTTCTGTTATTTTTTTGGATTTTAGCCAGAACCCTTCCTCTCCTTTCTGTTTATCTACATACTTATTTTCCCATATTTGGGTAAAAACAGTGAAGAGAGGATCCTACCCTGGGACACCTGAGGATGGGTGGGCCACCTGCAGGGAGAATGTCCTGTTTACCTGCCCGAAAGAGGTCCACCTTCTGTAAGTTAGGGGGCATGTGCTTCAAGGCGACATTTTTCAGATAGGTCTCTGTGTTCACCATGAACCTGAAAGACATGGATTCAAACTGCTGTGGTGTGCACAGCTGATGGACGTCCAAGGTTAGCAGGCAGCAGCGCACAGCCCTCGGGGACAGGCCTCATGCTGAACCAGCCAGGTGCCCCATGCCGACAGCTCACTCACTCACTCTCTGGCAAAGGCCAACTCTTCCGGGGAGAGGCTGGAAGGCTCCCCCTCGGGCCGGGTTTTCTCCTTCTCAAGGACATGAGGGAAAAACTTCTCTATCTGTGAGGATAAAGCAAAATCTTCATGAAAACGTTGGTAAAAGTCAAAGACAAGGATGTGGTTAACGTAAAGAGGGTTTACACAACTCTCCCGAGGAAGGACGTGTGGTCTGGAGGTGGGACAGTGTGGGTAGAGAGGCACACCATAAGACACGGGACACATCTCTGACACACCCTTGCAGGCAAGCTGTGGATGTGGGGCTGGGGGACAGCTTGGATTGGGAGACTCCTAAGTGGCTGAACAAAGAATGCTGACTCAATGGGTAGATGTCAAACTGTAAGGAAGTCTTTGGTGAGAGATCCTTAACACAGTCTAATTAATATTCACATAAGGTTTTTTATTTTTATTTTTTTTTGAGATGGAATCTCATTGTGTTGCCTAGGCTGGAGTGCAGTGGTGCGATCTTGGCTCACTGCAACCTCCACCTCTCGGGTTCAAGTGATTCTCCTGCCTCAGCCTCCTGAGTAGCTGGGATTACAGGCACCCACCACCACACCCAGCTGATTTTTGCATTTTTAGAGATGGGGTTTCACCATGTTGTCCAGGCTGGTCTTGAACTCCCAACCTCAGGTGATCCACCTGCCTTGGCCTCCCAAAGTGCTGGGATTACAGGCATGAGCCACTGCCCCCTGGCTGGTCATCACCAGCTTTTGGTCATCAAAAACCTTATGTGGGCCGGGCACAGTAGCTCATGCCTGTAATCCCAGCACTTTGGGAGGCTGAGGTGGGGGTGGATCACCTGAGCTCAGGAGTTCGAGATCAGCCTGGCCAACATGGTGAAACCCTGTCTCTTCTAAAAATCAGGCGGGCATGGTGGCAGGGGCATGTAATCCCAGCTACTTGGAAGGCTGAGGCAACAGAATCACTTGAACCCAGGAGGGGAAGGTTGCAGTGAGCTGAGATCGCACCACTGCACTCCAGCCTGAGCAACAGAGCGAGACTCCGTCAAAAAACAAAACAAAACAAAACACACACAACCCAGCAAATTAAAAAACAAGGGGGCTGATGACATAAAGTATTAAGAGACAGCTAATACATTAGGTGACAAGATCAGGATCCAGAGACAAGGGAAATGGCCCAGTTTAATAAGATAAAGTTTAAGAGGAATAAGTATCAAGCCCTACACTTAAGGAGCCAAAACCTAAGCCGTGCAAGTAGAGGACAATGACTGGATGGGATAATTATCATATTAAAAGGGGTTAGCGTCCATGTGAGTGAAGAATGAGCTCAGGCAGCGTACCTGTCAATATGCTAATGTGATAAATATGCTAATGTGATGTGGTTGGCATTACTACCAGCTTAATAATCAGAATAAGAGAAATGATCAGGCTGTTTTTCACAAACTTGGTCAAACTACAACTGGGATACTGTGTTTAGTTTTAGATAGTGTAACTTAAGAAGGATAAAGACAAACAAGAACCCTTTTAGAGACCAGGAGAGTAAATGGTTTGAATGGCTAAAATGTGTGCCTGAGAGAAGACTTCGAGGAGACTGTGGGCAGTCTTCAGATAGCTGAAGCATTCTCGTGTAGAAGAGATAATTTATTTTATTTGTAATAACTAAAGAGACACATAGAACCAAATGAAATGTCAAGGAAGTAGGAATTTCTCAGGGTTATAAAATAGGAATTTTTGCAATCTCTTTTCCTTTCTTTTTTTTTTTGGGGGCAGAGTCTCGCTCTGTCACCCAGGCTGGAGTGCAGTGGCACGATCTCAGCTTACTGCAACCTCCACCTGCTGGGTTCAAGCAATTCTCCTGTCTCAGCCTCCTGAGTAGCTGGGACTACAGGTGCCCGCCACTGCGCCCGGCTAATTTTTTTATTTTTAGTAGAGATGGGGTTTCACCTTGTTGGTCAGGCTGGTCTCAAACTCTCCTGACCTCAGGTGATCCACCCTCCTCAGCCTCTCAGTGCTGGGATTACAGGTGTGAGCCACCATACCTAGCCTGCAATTTCATTTTTGTAAGTTAGATAGCCACAAAGCTGTAGGCAAATGTAAGTCATCCTGGTTCATTTGACATTGACGCTGGCCATCTGACAGGCAAAATAATTTTGGAAACAAGTTCTCCTCTAGTCAGCATTCCCTATTCACCAACGCCAACGACTCTCCCTTCAGCACCGCCATGCTGTAATGCAAGGGGGCACCATTCACTCAGCAGGTGAACAGACTAAAAATGTGTGCGGTGTTCCCGCAGTGGGCAACACATGCCTCTCTGTGCTTCTGCGGAGCAATCTCTTGCTCTCCTTACACTTTAGCTACACTGATATTGGGCTCTCAGCAGTGTCTTCAGGTCCTGCACCCTCCTGGGCCCCAGTCCAAGTTCTCCCCAGGACATTCAGTCTGCTTTACAGACTGCGCTGTCTCAATGCCTCCAGGTATCTCCACGTCAAACCTTCATGAGGCGACACCGCAAGTAGCTGCTGAGGACGTAGCGGATCCTCTCCATCTCCATTTGGTGGATGCTGACCTTCAGGTCCTCCCTTTTGGCTCTCCTGAGATTTTCTTCCTATTAAATGAGAAACTAAGGTTTATAAAAAACATGATGTTCAACCATCATCATTGGCAACGTTGAGGACCCAGACTATGTTTCAGTCCAAGGAAAACAAAAATATCATGTGAGTTTTCATTTTATTTTATCATTGTATAAAGTGCAAACAATAGTCATTTACTTTTAGAAAATGACCATTTGAATAGAATATGTTCAGCCAGAGGGTTCCAGAAGAACTCCAGTCCGATTGTAAGGGAGATAATACAGCACACAGAAGAAACTTCCATCGGGCCTAAAAAGCAGTATTAAAACACCAGCTGAGAAACTGTGAAATATCCACATTTCACAGCTTCTCTGAAGTTGACAACGATTTAGACTTAGATAATCTAGGCCAGGGACCACAAACTCAAATGTCTGCAGGGGCCAGGTTAGGAGGCTACAAGAGAAGGGTGGGTAGTCAGGGACTGTGGGGAGCAGGGAGTACATGGATGGGCAGCTCTCATAGGACTGCTCTGGTCAACTGTTCTCATGCAGAAATGCAGGATTTTAGACTTTTCATGGGAAGCCAATATCCAGATATTTACAAGAACTCTCAAGCTTGATAAACATAGATAACTAATTCAATGTTTTTTTTAAAGAACTGGACTGTGGGTTGGAGCCAAACAAAACAGATTTGCTATCAGACTGCAAGCTCTCAGTGTGCTCATCAAATGCTTTTACCTTTCTGCTCCTTTATCAGACCAAGACAAGCGACCCTTACCATGTGCTCCAGCTGTTCCATGACACATTCTACAATCTCAGGCTTGCTCTCCAACAGCTCAGGGGCAAACTTTTCATTCATCCAGGCCTAAAAGACAAATGCCAGAAAAATCAAGCATCATCCACCACAGAGCTAAACAACCTTGTGAGTCAGCCCAAGTCCCACAAAAACCAGGGACAGTGCAGGCGAGAAAACTGTCTGCCCACCAACTGGAAACACTGAAGCTGTTTTGAAGACAAACTACGTTTAGCAATTGCTTTCTCATGTCCTGTTTTAGTTGGGAGGATATGTTCATAACCTTCTATTCAACTGACACTCACACAAACCCTTGCTTACTTCAGTTAGTATGACGCCTGGTGCTGAAAGTGACACCACCTGGTTTTCAAACCGTGGCTTTGCCAGGCAGCCCAGGCACACTGTTACTCCACCAGCTCCTTCCTCCCAGGGAGCACCACCCCATGTCTATTTAGAGAGAAAGCAACAACCCACCAATCCACACAGCTCTTCATTCCTGAAGCTCAGAGCACTTCACAAATGTTTTTAATTCATCATCATCATATCGCAGAGAAAATGGATATAGTTATCCTCATCTGATTGAAAAAATACAGATTGAGTAATTTACTAATGGCCCCAAAGTATACAGGATCATAATAGAAACAGGCGCTCATCTATTATGGAGTTTCGGAGCCAGAGGTTAAAGCTCTAATTTATGACTCAGGCCCAGCTGTTTGGTTCATTTTAGAGACTTCTAAGGCTTAGAGAACTGAAATATCCCTAAGTGACTGACGAAAGCTACACTTATCTTTCAATTACAGGAAATGTAGTTTTAGCATAGCTCAGAATTATATGCTGACCAGGCTCAACTTATTTTTTTCTGATGTCCTTGAGTGTCTGCTTCTCTCCATGATCACCATCAAGACACATTACCAAATGCTGGGCATGGCCACTGTCATAAGTGTTTGTGCAGAGCCTGAGCATCTGCAACAGTTCTGCAGACTGAAACAAACAAACAAAACCTTGCATAATGCATGGGAAAACATCGTATTTTCTGACGGGCTTATTAGGAGCAGTATTTCTTTTTGACTGATTTTTATTAAATACTGAATAATTTTTATTTATTTATTTTTGAGGGACAGTCTCACTCTATTGCCCAGGCTGGGGAGCAGAGGCATGATCCCAGCTCACTGCAACCTCTGCCTCTCGGGTTCAAGCGATTCTCCTGCCTCAGCCTTCCAAGTAGCTGGAATTACAGGCATGTGCCACCATGCCCAGCTAATTTTTGTGTTTTTATTAGAGACAGGGTTTCACCGTGTTGGCCAGGCTGGTCTTGAACTCCTGACCTCAAGTGACCCACCTGTCTTGGCCTCTCAAAGTGCTGGGGTTACAGGTGTGAGCCACTGAGCCCAGCCAAATATTGAATAATTTTTAAAACTAGAAGAACAAGCTGGGCGTGGTGGCTCATGCCTGTAATCCCAGCGCTTTGGGAGGCCGAGGTGGGCGGATCATGAGGTCAGGAGATCAAAACATCCTGGCTAACCTGGGGAAACCCCGTTTCTACTGAAAATACAAAAAATTAGCCGGGCTTGGCACGCCTGTAATCCCAACTACTTGGGAGGCTAAGGCAGGAGAATTGCTTGAATCTGGGAGGCAGAGGTTGCAGTGAGCAGAGATCACACCACTGCCCTCCAGCCAGGGCAACAGAGCAAGACTCCGTCTCAAAAACAAACAAACAAACAAACAAACAAACTACGAGAACAGTGACAAGTCCCTGTGTGTCCCTACCTCCTCAGAGGTAATCACTAGCTTGAATTTCGTGTTGAATTTCCTTTATGGTTTCACTACATTTGTTCATATCTCTATAGAATACCTCTCAACTGTTCATGACAGGATATTCAAAGAAAGTGATAGTGCTTGTCTGGTACACTGGGGTACCATTGGGGACCACTTCATTTATATTATGAAATTATGATGATAAAGTATAAAACATTAGGTGGAAGTTTATATTAGTATAAAACTTTCATATAAATCTTTCCAAAATTTTTACTGAGAAACTTGTATCAAAATCCAATCTTTTTTTTTTTTTTTTTTAAATCAGGTTTTACACTTGAAATGGCTACATCTGGTTTCTGGTCACACAGTGGCACGATAATGGCTCACTGCATCCTTGACCTCCCAGGCTTAAGTGATCCTCCTGCCTCAGCATCCAGAGTAGCTGGGACTACAGGCACATACCACAAAGCCTGGCTACTTTTTAAATTTTTTTAATAAAGATGGGGTTTTACCATGTTGCCTATGGTGGTCTTCGAACTCCTGGCCTCAAGACATCCCCCTGTATCAGCCTCCAGAAGTGCTGGGATTACAGGCTTGAACCACCGTGCCTAGCCCCTGATCAAAATTCTAAATACCAATCAGTTCATTATTGCTACAGGCTTAAGTGTGTCCCCCCTCAAAAATCTACCTAACTTCCAGGACCTCAGACTGTGACTATATTTGGAGATGGGGGCCTTTAAACAAGTGATTAAGTTGCCATAATCCAGTAAGACTGGTGTCCTGATAAGAGGTAATTTTAACACAGACACACACGAGAGGGAAGACCACGCAAGGACACAGGGAGAATATGGTCACCTACAAGCCTAAGGCAGAGGCCTGGCAAGAAGCCAACTATGCTGGCACTTTGACCTGAGCCTCTAGAATTAAGAAAATAAATTTCTATTTAAGCTACCCAGTCTTTGGGACTTTGCTCTGCGGCCATAGCAAACTAAAACAATCATTAAAATGAGCAAATCTGCACTACAGGTAATAACTTTTAAATCACTTTTTACAGGTATTAAAGGGTATCCTATATATGCTCCCAAAGCTGTTCTCATCAGTGGTCCTGTCAGGCTGTCCCTTTGGCTGTATCACACAGCATAAGAGACAGGATCTGGCTGTGGCAGCCATGCAGGTGGTGGGTCACTTCCTTGGCTGCACTCAGGGCACTGCACTGGAACATCAGGCATGAGATGTTACTCTAGCTCAACCACCGGCAAGCCACAGCGGTGCTGTCAGACCCCCCGCCGCCCATCCTCTAGCTGCCTTTCAAGGACCCCAATGATGCTCACTTGAAAAAGCAACCAGCCTGGGGCTCTGGCTGTCCTGGAAGGTGCAGGGGTCCACACTGAGACATCTGTGGCACAGCAGTGTGCCACATCACCCAAGGGTGGTGGCTCTGCCTTGAACAGTAATTTTGCAAGTTTGAACTTTACATAAAGTTTCTTTGGCAGCTCATATTTTATGGTTGTTATTGTTCTACATTATGTTCCTGTTATTCATGCTGTTTCAGGAGTTATTTTACTCATTTTCACTGTTATTTCCACTGTACATGGTATATTTTCTCAATGCTATTTATTTATGGTTATCTAGGTTATTTTCATTTTTAACTATTGCAAGCAATGTGTGAAAATATAGTAGATGTCTCCTAGAGTATATGCGGAAGTTTTCACTAGGTATGTACCTGGGGGTGGAATTACTGGACCACAGGTATGTGCACCTTCATCTTTACTAGACAATAACAAATTATTTTCCAAAGTGATTATACCTATTTACATCCCATGGCAGTATATAAGTGTGCAAATTGCTCTACTTTTTTTTTTTTTTTTTTTTTTGAGACGGAGTCTTGCTCTGTTGCCCAGGCTGCAGTGCAGTGGTGTGATCTCGGCTTACTGCAATCTCCACCTCCTGGGTTCAAGAGATTCTCCTGCCTCAACCTCCTGAGTAGCTGGGATTACAGGCGTGACAACACGCCCGGGTAATTTTTGTATTTTTAGTAGAGATGAGGTTTCGCCATGTTGGCCAGGATAGTCTTGAACTCCTGACTTCAGGTGATCTGCTCGCCTCGGCCTCCCAAGGTGCTGGGATTACAGGTGTGAGCCACCGAACCTGGCCTGCCCTATATTCTTAATTTTTTTCTTTTTGGGATAAGATCTTGCTATGATCCTCAGGTTGGTCTCAAACTCCTGGGCTCAAACGAACCTCCCACTTTGGCCTCCTGAGTTGCTAGAACTACAGGCATGAGCCACTGCGCTCAGCTGCTCTACATTCTTGCCATACTTTACATTGCTCAGGTTTTTCAGTTCTTCCAATCTGATAGATATGAAATGATATCTCATGATTTTAATTTTCATTTTCCTGATCACTAAAAAGGTTGAACATCTTTTTCATATGCTTATTGGCCATCTTGTTTTCTTCTTCTTCCAGGTATCAGTCTGTATTAGGCAGTCTGAAAGAGTTGTTTATGTACTGTGGATAATCATCTTGTGTCAGCTACATATTAACATTTTGCAAGTATCTTCTCCCAGCATGGTGGCCTGTCTTTTCACTCTAATCCAGAAGTACAAACAGGCAGGGCACAGTGATTCACACTTGTAATCCCAGCACTTTGGGAGTCGAAGGCAGGCAGATCACAAGGTCAGGAGTTTGAGACCAGCCTGGCCAACATAGCGAAACCCAATATAGTGAAACCCCATCTCTACTAAAAATACAAAAATTAGCCGGGCATGGTGGCGCAAGCCTATCGTCCCATCTACTCAGGAGGCTGAGGCAGGAGAATCACTTGAACCTGGGAAGCAGAGGTTGCACTGAACCAAGATCATGCCACTGCACTCCAGGAATGTATCCCTTTTTTCCTTTATGCTTTGTGCCTTTTGATTTTTGTTTAATGAACCCTTTCCTAATGAACAAGGAACTCTTATGCTGTTCCACAAACTAGGTCTGTGGGTGGATTTCAGGGGATCTGTGATGCCCTGGAAGTCATATGCAAAATTCTGCATGGGTGCATGTGTGCGTTATTCCGGGATGAAAGACCAGAGTTTTTACCAGTTTCTCAAAAAGGTCTGTGATATAAAAACAGATTAAGAATCAGTGCTAAATAGTAAGGATCATCATATAAGGTATAATTCAAAAATTATTTTAGTTCGGTTTTGGCATTCATGGTATCATGTATGGCAGGGAAGAATGAAGAATACTAAAGTCGCAAACATGAGAGAGCTCTGGAAAGGGGCAGTTAGAGCAAGAGGGTAAGGATAATTACTATGAACAGCTCACATCTAGTGAGCGCTTACCACGTGTCAGACGGCATGCTGAGTACACAATTATAATTCCACATTTAATCAACCCAAAACTCTAGGAAGGAGACACTATTATCATCTCAATTTTATTTTATTATTTTTTTGAGATGGAGTTTCACTCTTGTTGCCCAGGCTGCAGTGCAGTGGTGGGATCTTTGCTCACTGCAACCTCTGCCTCCCAGGTTCAGGTGATTCTCCGTCCTCAGCCTCCTGAGTAGCTGGGATTACAGGCATGCGCCACCACGCCCGGCTAATTTTTGTTTTTTAGCAGAGATGGGGTTTTATCATGTTGGTTATGCTGGTCTCGAACTCCTGGACCTCAGGTGACCCATTCACCTCAGCCTCCCAAAGTGCTGGGATTACAGGCTTGAGTCATTGTGCCCGGCCCTACTATCTCCATTTTATAGTCAAGCAATGGCTTGAGACAAACTCCCCAACTTGCTTAACATCACGTAACAGAGTCGTGTCAGAGACAGATTTAAATCCACATAGTCTGAACTGTTACCAGAGCGTCATGAGATATAAGTGTAAAGAACACAGTTACTGGCACATGGGAAATATGCAATAAGTCAGAGCTATTATAACTAAAAGGAGAAATATTTCAGAAAGGATTTTAGATAAGCCGTGGACATATGGAAAGCAGATGACTCAAGAAAAAAACATGTGAGAAAAAGGAAGAATATGACCAGTTATCCCTTACGGGCATTTTAGCATTTTCTTGCTAAACAGGCATTCTCCAGGGAAACAGCAGATGTTCAAGGGACTAAGGTAAAGAAGTTAGCAGTCCCACCACACCTCTACAGTCCCTGAAAATATCACGTGGATCTTGTTCTGTGAACTGTTCACTGAATGTGCCCAAAGCTGTCACTTACTGACCCCACTTGGGAATGCTGTGTTTGGTATGATGAGGTCTCTAACAGAGGATGTCCTTCCTGCTTCCCGTTTCCATGTAGATGGTAAGATCCAGTCCCTGTTCTCCTGAAATAAGCCCTGAATTCCATTTCCTCATTTTGTGATCCCTGATATTCACAGATGAACTAAATAAAAAGGCTGACTGGAGCAAAGGGATTCGGTCTGGGATGCTTACCTGCTCCAACCTTTCAATGAGCTCTGCAGGAGTTAGGACCACTTCCTCACTACCCCCATCAGAGTCCTGTCCCAGGAAATCCAGTTCTTCGGTCATCTTCTCTGAAACCAGGAACCTAATGAGAAGGAAAGAACCAATACTCTGCAATGCATTTTCTATTTATTTGCAAGAATAGACATCTATCTGGAGAAGGGAAAGGTTTATTGCGGTTTCCTGCGGTTGTAGAGGCCCATTAGCAAGTGGTGAGAGAACGCAGGGACTCTAGTTTTCTAGTATCTGTCTCTTCCTCCAAGGCTCAGGTCAGGTATCCGTTTCTCAAACAATCCTCCCCTTTATTACTGCCCACCAGGAACTGACCACCTATCACATCATACAATCACTATTCATTTCTTTGACTTCCCAGCAGAGGTCCTGTTCCTCAGGGACGGGGTTCGTTTCAGTTCACATATGAATCGCGCCTCTGCTCAATGCCTGGCACTAAGCACTGGGGACGCAACGACTTGGGGAGCCCCTGCGCTCAGCACAGTGCTTGACTCCTAGCAGGCACTTAACATTGTTGGGAGCTGGCCGGGCTCACGCCTGTAATCCCAACACTTTGGGAAGCCGAGGCAGGAAGATACCTTGAGCCCAGGAGTTCGAGACCAGCCTGGGCAACATAGGGAGAGTCTGTCTCTATAAAAATAAAAATTGTTAGGAGGATTAATCAATGCTAATTTCCCAGAGCCACAAGGCCCGGCGACATTAGACCAGTCGGCGACTCCAAAGGCCTAAGGAAGTGGATGGCGGGGACGAGCAAAGTCCCCGGGGTCGCAGGGAAACTGCCAACATTCCCCTCCCCTTCTACCTCTCAGTGCCACCCACACAGGCCTTCCTTCGCCACAGAGGTCCCACTCGACGCTCACTCGGGGACCTGGGAGACAGCGAGGCACTCCACAGCAGCAACCGGTAAGGACGGGGAGTTCGTGGGGACGCAGTCGGGGAACCTGAAAGCAGGAAGACAGCGGAACAAACTGCTCAAGGCCTTCCCCAGATGAACCCGAGCCTCCAACTTCTCAGCTCCCGCGCTACTCTCGGAAACTTTCCGCCTAGGCAGGACGTCATCGCGCACGGGCGAGATTGACCAGTCAAGGCGCGGGGGGGAAGAGCGGGGCGGTCTTCTTGGGCCCGCCCACCCGAGGGGTGGGGACTGTCTTCGCGGCTGCTCGCAGTCCCAGCAACCCGTGGACACTAAGCGGCTGGAGGCTGGTCCGGGTGGGCCCCGCCCACCTGGGTCGGCGGTTCGGGTCTGCGGTCCGGGTTGCACTACTCACGAGCGTCGGGAGGGGGCGCCCCGTACCGTGGCCAAGGAGAGCGGAGGTGTCCGCCCCGGGGGGTCCCACCCAGAAGTGTGCTGTTGAGAGCTGGCCGCAGCAGCCTCTTGGGTCGTCTCCACCCACAGCTCCCGTGGCTCTTTGGGTTCCTCCGTCTTTGCGGGGTTTCAGCTGTGGTCACTATGGTCGGTGCCTTCAGAATCTCCAGTACATTCTTTTTTATCTTTCTTGAGACAGGGTCTTGCTCTGGTGCCCAGGCTGGAGTGCAGTGGCACCATCACAGCTCACTGCAACCTCTGCCTCCCGGGCTCAAGCGATCCTTCCACCTCAGCCTCTGGAGTAGCTGGGACCACAGGCCAGCGCCACCACGCCCAGTAACTTTTTAATTTTTTTTTTTTAAATGTAACTATGAGGCCGGGCGCGGTGGCTCATGCCTGTAATCCCAGCACTTCGGGAGGCCGAGGCGGGTGGATCACGAGGTCAGGAGATCAAGACCATCCGCGCTAACTCGGTGAAACCCCGTCTCTACTAAAAATCCAAAAATAAAAAAAATTAGCCAGTAATCCCAGCTGCTCGGGAGAGTGAGGCAGGAGAATCACTTGAACCCGGGAGGCGGAGCTTGCAGTGAGCCGAGATCGCGCCATTGCACTCCAGCCTGGGCGACAGAGCGAGACTCCGTCTCAAAATAAAATAAAAATAAAAATAAAATAAAATAAAATAAATAAAAAACTATGGCGGGGCGGGGGAGGGGAGTTGTGTCTCCCTATGATGGCCAGGCTGGTCTCGAACTCAAGGACCCAAGTGATCCTTCCACCTCTGCCTCACAAAGTGGCTAGTGGTTTTTGAAGCCTGGGATCTGACGACCAGCAGCAGCATCGCCTGGGACTCCGCGACAATGCAGATTCTCAGGCCCCACCCAGGCCCACTGAATCAGAAACACTGAGGGTATTTCGCTAGACCCAGGCCCTCCCGGTGACCCTGACGCAGGTGAGGTTTGAGAATCACTGCTTTGGGGCAATGCTTTCAACTCAGCTTCTGGAGGGGAAAAGCAAAAAAACCCATGTCTGTATATTTATATTTTTTTTCCATCTTTGTGTGATCCAGTTTTTCTTCTCTGAATTGCTGATTCTTTTCTCTTTGCTGTCCTGCATTTTCTGTGCAAAGCGTTGCTTCTGGCTTCCCTAAAAGTGTCTCTTCTCCATCAGTCTGAGGGCTCTTTGTGAAGCTGCCCTGTGATGTCATATTGATTGACTAGTAAAATGATTGGCTAATACAGGATGATTGTACCTGCCTGATTACAATCCTGTTTTAAAAATGACAATAGAATAAGCTGAGTGAGAGAGTGGGCATCTTTACAAAGGGTGTGTAAGCTGGGGCGTATCAGCATGGGATTCCCAGAAGGAAGGGGCATTTGAACTGGGTCTTACAAAATGAATTTTGTGAGTGGCAAATAAGTGGTCATTTCAAGGTCTGTTTCAACGCTGTGTTTCAATGGTTTGGGCATCCCGTTGTTTTTGGTTTGGCAGAGTGTGTTTCCCAAACACAGCTGTTCTGACATGGATCTCACCCCACATACCCTTCTTACCATATGACACTGACACGCCTTCATCAAGAGGTGGGGTCTATGTTCTCATGTTTTATTTGTTTATTTAGAGACAGGGTCTCACTCTGTCACCCAGGCTGGAGTGCAGTGGGGCGGTCACGGCTCATTGCAGCCTTGACCTCCCTGGGCTCAGGTGATCCTCCCACCTCGGCCCCCATGAGTAGCTGGGACTACAGGTGTGCACCACCATGCCTGGCTAATTTTTTTGTATTTTTAGTAGAGATGGGGTTTCATCATGTTGCTCAGGCTGGTCTTGAACTCAGGCTCAAGTGATCCGCTCACCTCAGCCTCCCAAAGTGCTGGGATTACAGGCATGAGCCACTGTGCCTGGCCCTGTTCTTGCCTTTTCCATCAGGAAAGAGCTTTTTAACTGCTTTGACCAAGAGAATTTGGCAGAAGTGATGCTGCTTGGCTTCCAGGACTAGGTCATAAAAGGCAATGTGGCTCCCACTTGGCTCTTTTTTCTGGAGCCCTATCCCTTGAGAGCTGCGGGCTGATGTGGAAGAAGTCTGGCTAGCCTGCAGTTGCTGTGCAATAGAGTCCTTATGAAGATGCCAGGCAGAGATGGGGAGCCTTACTGGACGAACCCCAGAACCCCAGTTGTTCCATTCTCCAGATGTCTGGGTTGAATGAGCCTTCAGGTGATTCCAGCTCTGAGGCTTCAAACTGTCCCAGCTAAGATGAAGGCAGCAGAGATGAGCTTCTCTGCTGAGCCCTGCCCAAATGGCAGATTTGTGAGCAAAATAAGTATTGTTGTTGTTTTAGGCCCTATGTTTTGGAGTGGTTTGTTATGTAGCATTCGATGACTGAAACAGTGGTCTTTGAGCACAATCCTATTCTTCCATAATTCTCATTACCAAATAGCTTTTCAATGATGTTTATTAATATTCCTTAAGTGTTACAGATTTGAGTCCAAGCATAGATAACGTCTCTACACAAGTGCCGATTATGTACTTTATTGATTTAAAAACTTCCCTTCTCTGGGTCCAATCACCGTCTCCAATCTCCCCCGCTCCTCCACTGGAGAGCTAGAGCCCGGCTTCTGCTTCGTTACTTAATAGAGGTGTGACCTTAAATGAGTCACTTTGGATTTCAGTCACACCACCTTTTTGTTGTTGTTGTTGTTAGATGACGTTTTGCTTTTGTCCCTCAGGCTGAAGTCCAGTGGTGTGATCTTGGCTCACTGCAACCTGTGCCTCCCGAGTTCAAGCAATTCTCCTGCCTCAGCCTCCTGAGTAGCTGGGATTACAGGCATGTGCCACCGCACTTGGCTAATTTTTGTATTTTTCGTAGAGATGGGGCTGGTCTTGAACTCTTGACCTCAAGTGATCTGCCCACCTAGGCCTCCCAAAGGGCTAGGATTACAGGAGTAGGATTACAGGAGTGAGCCACCACACCCAGCCATCAGTCATACCACCTTTTTTTTTTTTTTTTTTTCACCCTGTCACCCAGGCTGAAGTGCAATGGCGTGATCGCAGCTCACTGCAATCTCCACCTTCCAGGTTCTCCTGCCTCAGCCTCCCCAGTAGCTGGGGCTACAGATGCGTGCCACCGCACCTGGCTAATTTTTGTATTTTTAGTAGAGATGGGGTTTTGCCATGGTCGCCAGGCTGGTCTCGAACTCCTGACCTCAAGTGATCCACCTGTCTCAGCCTCCCAAAGTGCTGGGATTACAGGAGTGATCTACCACGCCTGGCTAGTCACACTACCTTTTACACAAGAATAATATGTGTCTGCCTGAAGACAGAGGGACAGACCAAAAAATTGAGGGACCTCTTTCACTTCTAAGATCTTTGATTACAACTAATATTCATTAGACAAAAACACTTCTAGAGGAAATGAGTTGGCAGAAAAATATTTCTACTATGTAGAGAAGGGTTATTAAAAGAAATGCCAAAGCAACACACAAACTTTCGGTGAAAGTGTTGATCATTTGGCACTGTAAAGTTCAGGAAAGTGGTAGAAAAGAGGTCTTCAGTTACATTATGCAGAATGAAGAGAAAAATCAGGAACATCTGGTTGATGTGCACCCACTGTCAAGAAGTGTTTTAGAAATAATAAGATAGCCATATAAATGGAATGCGATTCATTAAAATGATCACAGATAAAAGAGGATTACATAGATCGTGATAGCAGGAGGATGAAGTTTGTGGACAGAATTTGCAGGCAAGCTTAGATGTTTTAAATTGCAAGATGAACATACTAACATGAATTCAGGCAAGTAAAACATGAAGTTACATCGAAAGAGAAGGAAAAAGCTACTGCCCAAAGTGGAAGAGGAGGATACAGAAAATAGGATCCTATACAGCTGAAGAAAGTGACAAGCCACAGCAATTTCCAGATATTCTCAGTGAAGATGTTAATGGAAATTATAGACACAGCAAATAGAAACAGCCAAAATATTTGTCGGCAGCCATACATTATTATTATTATTATTGTTATTATTTATTATTTTTTTTGAGATGGAGTCTCCCTCTGTCGCCCAGGCTAGAGTACAGTGGCGCAATCTCAGTTCACTGCCAGCTCTGCCTCCCAGGTTCACATCATTCTCATGCCTCAGCCTTCCAAGTAGCTGGGACTACAGGCGCCTGCCACCATGCCCGACTAATCTTTTGTATTTTTAGTACAGATGGGGTTTCACTGTGTTAGCCAGGATGGTCTCGATCTCCTGACCTTGTGATCTGCCCGTCTCGGCCTCCCAAAGTGCTGGGATTACAGGCGTGAGCCACCACACCTGGCTCAGCCATACATTATTTTTATTTTTTGAGACAGAGTCTCGCTCTGTTGCCCAGGCTGGAGTGCAGTGGCGTAATCTTAGTTCACTGCAACCTCTGCCTCTCAGGTTCAAGCGATTCTCGTGCCTTGGCCTCTAGAGTAGCTGGGATTACAGGTGTGCACCTCCATGCCTGGCTAATTTTTGTGGTTTTAGTAGAGATGAGATTTCCCCATGTTGGACAGGCTGGTCTTGAACTCCTGACCTCAGGTGGTCCGCCCACCTCAGCCTCCCAAAGTGCTGGGATTATAGGCATGAGCCACTGCTCCTGGCCAAAAAGATACATTATTAATGAGAACAAATTTAATTTTTTTAATCACAAAGGAAAAACGACAGTAAATACTATATATCTATACAGAATTGTGAACTTTCTGGAGAAAGATGCTTTCAGAATACAAGTGATGG